AGGAACATCAATCAATACTCTAACACGCATAATTTTGAAGATTTGGGCAAAAACCATCTATTTTTGGGGGGAAAAAAAGTAAATTTTTGAGGGATTTTATCTTAATTTTTCGACGGAATTACCCCTTTAATAACACATCTGTCCAGCAATCGATTTGGAACGCGGTCTAAGGCCCTTGAGGCATCTTTCTAGCAACTTTCAAGAAATTTCATTTTTTGTCGAAAATCGGAAAAAATGCAAGGGGTTAGCCTTACATTTTTAGTCAAAATCGGCCAAAAATTGACTTTTCTCAAAACAAGGCAGAAAGTCATCTGGATGCAAGAGGGTCATCAATGGATACTCCAACACGCATTACTTTGAAGATTTGGGCAAAAGTCATCATTTTTGGGGAGAAAATAATGAAATTTTTGAGCGATTTTACCTTAATTTTTCGACGGAAGTACTCCTTTAATAACACGTCTGTCCAGCAATCGATTTGGAATGCGTTCTAGGGCCCTTGAGGCATCTTTCTAGCAACTTTCAAGAAATTTCATTTTTTGTCGAAAATCGGAAAAAATGCAAGGGGTTAGCCTTACATTTTTAGTCAAAATCGGCCAAAAATTGACTTTTCTCAAAACCATGCAGAAATTCTTCTGGAAGCAAGAGGAACATCAATCAATACTCTAATACGCATAATTTTGAAGATTTGGGCAAAACTCATCAATTTTTCGAGAAAAAAAAGTTAATTTTTGAGCGATTTTACCTTAATATCTGGACGGAATTTCCCATTTAATAGCGCATCTGTCAAGTAATCGATTTGGAATGCGTTCTATGGCCCTTAAGGTATCTTTCTAGGAACTTTCAAGAAATTTCATTTTTTGGCTAAAATTGAAAAAAAATGCAAGAAGTTAATCTTACATTTTTAGTCGGCCAAAATTTGACTTTTCTCAAAACCATGCAGAAATTTATCTGGATGCAAGAGGAACATCAATCAATACTCTAACACGCACAATTTTGAAGATTTTGTCAAAAATCCTCCCAGAAATAATGGGCTTAATACTGTTTTTAGCTATTACAGATACTGCAGCTTCTTTCTGGTGTGAGTGTTTGTGTTTCAATTCTGAAATAATTTTAATCTTGATGCAGGTTTTAAGCAGTTATTCATACAGCTATTAAAATCATTCTACCAGTGCTGGCTTATATGAAAGCTTCAAAATCGTTATTCCTGGCTACGAGATCAGTTTATTCCTGGCTACGAGATCAGTTTAGGCAGTAGGTCGATAAAGAAAAACACATTCTGTTATAAACATGCACCCCAGTACCAAGAGCGATTGAAGTAAAGAGTCTAGCCCAAGAACACAAGCAGGATGACCGTTGTCCGGATTCAAACCAACGTGCCACCGCAAATGAGTCGGACATCGTAAATTTACATTTTACTATAGCGCTCTTCCAAATATTTAATTTGATTTTTGTCCACATATATAATGGGGATTAGTTTAAGTAACATTAAACTAAGTTGTTTGCTTTCCCTATAGCAAAAGCTTGATTATTTCTTTTTATAGTTCATTATGACAAATGACATAAGAGATTATATCAAAAAGAGAATAATATCGATAACGCATTCTCAAAGGTCTATCAGTTTTCCGATACATTAAACTCTAGCTAACTGTAATTTCCCATTTAAAGCTATCGCAGTCTATTTCTCAAAAATAATTATACAAATCTAAGTCATTATCACTTCAATGCAAAGACTTTAAATTATATTTCTCCATCATCATCTTATAACAGAAAGTTCGGTAATTGTAATAATTGTGATTATGGAAATGAAATTTTAGTCGGACTACACAGAACTAAGCTGGTGTACCTTCTGAATTTCATATTGTGGAGAGAGTAGAAAGCAGCGTGAAAGCAATTTCAATTCAACTGTTACTGCTACCACCGACCGGGAATCTCAATTTGCCTCAGCGAGGGTCTTCTCATAATGCCCGCTACCTTCACGCAGCGCCTTAAGATCACCCCGGGACCTATTTCCTTCGACCTCGATGAAGTAAAAAATTAACTACAAAAAGGAATCAAATAATATGAATAGCCCGAGAAATCCTTGAAGTCACACATAATTGTGATCCGGCACCGATGTGGCTTAGCGTTTTCTATAACAGTTCTTTTTTATGTGTTAAATCGTGTGATATTCTCTCCCTTTATAACCCATGGTGTTGCGAGATGATGGGAAATGATTTTTTTCCAGGTCGACTGCACGGGAGACGTAGAAAGCGGAAGACTAGGGATGCACGTGTGTTACATAACGACATAAAGTCGACGGGCGCTCGATGCCTCGATCACGTGCGAGCTTGATAATGCTTAATGCTGGGGATTTGGGGAATAAGGTTGGGAAAACCATTTTCCTTTTTCGGATGAAAAAGATGTTTTTTTTCTCCGAAGAGTCCTCTTTGGCCGAGAATGTTAGAGAAACGAGGCGGCAAGACAAACTCTTTGTCTTATGATGTGGGCAAAAATCACCCGAAAACAACATGGCGCTAAGACGGCATGGGGGCACGTGACCCCCTCCCCAGAGACCTGTAAGCCTACCCCTCATTGTGCCCCCTCCCACCTGGTTCAGCCTGAATTTGGTGAAGTCAATTTTTTTTTAAATCGGTGTCCCATTGAATGTCCTTTCAAAAAAGATTTGTAGGGTTAGGGTTAATTAAGGTCAGGGTTAGGATTATTGCGCCACTGGAAAATAGTGCGCGTACACATAATATGTCGACAACATGCAACAAGTTCATGATAGTCTGGTGATGGGCAAGGTACCATTAAAGTGATGATGATGGTGATAATGCTGACTATATACCGATGATGTTGATAGTTGGCAAAATCAAGAAACGAAATAACCCTCTTCCGAACTGAAAGGCACTTAGGACCATTTGCATTTACCCCAAGAGTATTTAAACTTCGAATTATTAGCAAATTGCTTACTAGGATTGAAGAAACACCCCGTGGAATTTGGGCGATTCACAATGCAGTGCACCACAAGGAGATTGCCATGGAGAGTCCATTCTTCAAATTTACGGTCGACAAAACATGGCCCATTTGAACGAGTGTCAGTAGACAACTTAAGCAAATTTGTTATTGATTGGGGCATAGCGTTCAGCCGCCTTACAAAAAGAAAAGGGCAAACAGATACTCGAATCATACTCTTACGAAACTATACTGACCGGAAAAACAAGCACATTCAAATGTCCCGCGCTGTGAATTTGTTGACCATCTCCCACATTGCACTGGGGGAAATGAACTCTCCGTGGCAAACTCTTGGTGGCGCACTGCATTGTGAATCGCCCGAATTATTCCGTCAGGTTTGTTTTTATTTAGAAGAAATCCAGAAACGGAGGTGATTTCCAATTATCACTAGATTGGCTGATTTTTGGAAATAAAGATGCTACAGACAATATAGTGCTTCGTTATCCAACGGTTGTGCATGGATTTTCAAAAGTGAGATAAAATTTCATTAGTTGGGTTTTGAACATTACTCTCTGGATTTTGAATAGTGATGTGATATTATTGGAAAAGAACAAAATGCACGTACAGCATTAACAGCAAATGATCATACATACATTTAATAACAAAGGCTTTAAGGCAGTAGGCGTTGACTAATTTTGAATTGGCACTGAAACCGAGGGCACTATGCTCTCTTTTGTTGAGAGGATTAAAACAAAATGGTCATCGATTGATACAATGGCTTAGCATTGAGAGCCTCGTTTTCAATGCTAACAATCTCCATTTCAATCATGCCATCAAACGTTGACATGGACACGACGAATTGAATTCACTTTTTGTTTCACACTCATTATGTACATGCTTTTATTGACATCCATCATATTTATTTATTTGATAGTTTTACAGAAACCCTGCGTTCCTTTAGAATAATTATGATACAACATTATTAAATTACTTCTAACCACTACACAGTCATTCATTCTTATACGAAGTCTTTAAAAACAGCCAAATAAATGACCGGACTAACAATTTAAAATACTTTTCGTTTGTAATGGTTTGTGAAAGGAATGTTTCTGCTTAACGATGGATCTTAATTAATTATTATCTTAAAGAAATTTTCATAATTGAGAACACGTGTTGTCATGAATATCCATAAATATATGACGCTAAGTAATTGCTCAGCATTAGCACGGGGTAAAGTCAATCTGAAAGGGATTGTACACGTTGCTTTATGTGCAAATGTCATACAAATATACCGATACCATGAATGTAGGCAAACATACAAAAATCACAATCTCCTTCAGAGATCACCACATATTAATTAAATTTCCAATAAAATAACCTTTTTACTGCATGAATATTTTGGATAATGAACTGCATGTGATGCTGTAGGCGTATTGGTATACTTCAGAGCAAAATCAAGTTTACACGAAAACACATTCAAGATGAACGCGTTTCATACATGTACATCGCAGGCTTTATCGGTTTCCTGTTTTGTAAAGTGCGTATACTTCTGTGCCTTGTTAACATTCTCATGTTATTTTGGAACGCATAACCAATTGTAGCTTACCCAGCTGCAAGGGCAGGTGACAAAATGCCCCCCCCCCTCCCCCAACCTGCGACATCATTGGCCAATTACTTATTTTTTTTAATGGAAATGAAAGCGCTAGCAACTCTCCACCGCTACTGGCAGTGCTACCCACCTCCCCCTGCTTCCTTAACGATTTTACTGAACAAAAAATATGGGGGCCCCTTTTTTCAGAAAAAAATATTCCCATTTCTCTCTTGATCCCAAACCTGGATAACCAAGGGCGGTCGTCCGAGGGAACATGTCTTCTCGATGTGTTTTTGCTGATGAACTTCCTGCCGAACTTGGCAAGGTACAGATTGAACAGCGCCACCACAGTCAGATGATGTGCAGTCCCGTCCCTCAAGCCCGACCCCTCTCGCCGTACGCGGCGCTATTACTAAAACCAATACCGTGACAGATTTTACCAGATTAAATTGAAAATAGATTATATTAAACAAACTTTCAAAGAATAATAATCAAATCTTTAAGAAAAAATACAAGCAATACTTAAATCATTTTGTTCCATGTATGCATTTGCCCGTTTTTGACTTCACCTGAATGTGTATTAAAACATTAAATGCTCCAACAAACAAAAAAGTTTTAAAAGGAACAATAAATACATAACAAGATATATAGTTAAGCGGGTGAAAGTGTCTAAAAGTACAAAAGAAACAAAACATGTTCCCTCAAACTATAAAAGGTTATGTGGTCAGAGTCGCCACAGTCGTTATTTCGTTAACGTTTTGGTCCAAAATACTTTGCTCTGCAAGTTATTTTAACATACCCAATGATGTCATTAAAAAACAATGAATGCTGGATGTTTACTTTATGCCAAGTAAGTAACCCATGCAGACCAAAGATTTTGAAATCACTTTCAGAACCAAATCAATCTTGTTTGGGGAATTGTTCAAGCTCTGTTTTTGTTTCTCAAAAAGATTTCACTTTCATATTAACATCCTTAAGATGAACCATAAAAGGAATCAAGGAGAGAAGATTGTAGAATATAAATCTATTTTACTGTCTGTTTTCCTTTGGCATCATGACTGGTGTGTAATTACTTCGCATTTTCGTTCATTTTATACCCTCAGTGCAAAATGATGTATTGTTTTGTTATCGTTGCACAAACGGTGGGGCAAAATGTTTGAGTAAACACGATTTACAAAGTTGACAGGTGTCATTAGTATTCCATGCAACAATGACAATAATCTTTTATTTATACATTTATTTACAATTTAACATGAAAATGATTACTTGCATGATCTCCATGCAATCCACTAAATTCAGTGGTTGCCGGAAAGAAACAGCACAATCAAACATGCTGTCTTCAAAACAGCTAGGGGCAACTTTCGCTGTCTCCAAGACAAGACATGATACAAAACTCTCAACATACTGAAATTACTTACAGTGCGCCCTCTTTTGAGTCATTAACTACTCTTCATACATGGCCAACGTTGAGGGCAGTCTTTACATCTACTTTATTTTCTAGAACGGGAGGCGATATGACGTGTGTCCCTTACACGATTCTCTCAGTTTCCTGACGGTGTGGTCAAAAATAAATCTGTAAAAACAGTCTTTTAAGACCGGAGATTGATTGCTTGTCATTAGGGACACGGCATGATGGACACGGTTGCTAGTCACTTTCCGAAACTGAAAATCAAAATCATAACGGAGGTCCCATTGCATGTAACCCGGTAATTCATTTTCATATCAGAAGCGTTTTCTTGATGAAATCTACTCCAGACACGTCTGAGAGTTACACAAAGCGTAATGAGTCTTGACATCCAGAGAAAGGAGTGGGATAATATATGGAAGCAAGGGACCCCGCGTATCCATGTACAATTTGCCAAGCCCGTCCTGTTGGAGCCTACAGCAATTTCTGTTGGATATTCCTCAACTCGGGAAAGGACTTGTGCTTGCATACTGAAAAGCATGTGTTCAAGTGTTAAGTGGATGCCGCTTTTTTTCTCCAAGAGTCAGGATTGGTTTTTGTTGTCCCGTACGTTGTTCATTCTATGAAGTTGGTAAACTTGTCGTGTTTTCTCTTGTCGAATTCGACGTGTCCTCACCTTCTACCGACACCACGGCCACGGTGGAGTGGTTGTATAGCCCCTGCTTCATTAGCTGCAGGGCCAGCGAGTTGCGCAATCCGTTGGCTTTCTTGATTTTCGCTCGCTTGTTCTGGAACCAGATCTTGATCTGCGACTCGTTCAGGCGCAGCTCGGCCGCCAAGCCGCGGCGGCGCTCTTCCGTCAGATAGTTGCTCTGCTGGAACTCGTGTTTGAGACGCTGGAGCTGTTGGGCGCTGAAGGCTGTGCGGGGGCGCTTTTCGTCTCGCCGCGTGGGGGAGCTCTCTGCGATGGAGGTGCGGGCTTTGATCTTGCGAGTCCTTGGCCCTGTACAGAGGTTGACAAGAAATTGTGAATTTTCTTTTAAGGATGAAATGAGAATCACAATGTCAGTTCAGGAAATCTTGCGTTTTCCAGGGTTTAACGTCAAACACACATTTTCCGTATGATCATAAACGTAAAGTGCAATATTGTTTCGACGCATGAGACCAATACAAAGCTGTCTTTTCATTTTGAGGATAATTATGAAGTCCCTGTTAAATCATGAAGTACATCTGCTAATTTTAAGCCAGTTAGAACAAAACGTCATGCGCCTATCATTTGTTTTTGATGAAAATGTTCACATTTTCACAGTCGGTACCATGCATGCAAAATTTAACCGAAAACACATTTTTTTTCAGGCATCGCGAAAGAATAAAAAAAAAAGATGGGGAAGTCCACCTTTTCACACGATAATAATCTTAATCGGTGGGTTTTTGAAAAATAGAGAGTCAATGACGCAATCAATTAAATTCATGGCAAAATTATTGGGTTTTTTTGTCATGTGGATAAGAACAGACAGCGAACACCATTAACAGGAAATCATTATTATTGCTGGATTCCACAGTTCACAGGTTTTTGGGGGGTAAATTCTATTTTGTTCGTAAAAAAAAACCAAGAAAGGGGGAATGTGCTACTCCTCTCATCAAACGCTATATATACATCATTGATAGTAACTTTTCTACGGTTACGTATTCACAACGAAACAGTAAACCAGTCAAGAAAAGCAAACAATCCTACAATTTTTGCAGTCTCTTTCGTATCTCCTTGTAATGCCCGTATGTTAATGCAGGTATACACTCTGACGAAGAAGGCCGGGTCTGGGGCGGATGGAGGTCGTCGTGTTTTCAATAGTACGATTCTTTAAACTTTGTTAGGCAATGAGAGGTGTATATCAACTGATGCAGTTTTTCCATTTTGGCGTGGGCCAACCATTTTCGTGTTTGAATATTCAACTTCGCGCACCGAAATAATACTTTCGAAATGTAAATGAAGTTGTCTCAAAGTCAAACAGGCTCGCCATTTGCATTTCCAATCGCCATTTTATGTTTAGAAAGTAAACAACGCCACCAGTGAGATCCAGCAGCAGTCAACGACACTCGCATACCGCTTTCCTTATAAAGTTTGACTTTCAAGGCTATGGGTCCACCTTCACTCCTGCCCAAGGCCTTATCCAAAGGCGCTGGCGACCTAATGTCTTTCACAAAAAGTGTTGTTCAGCTTCAGGAAACGGATGTGTCGCAAAGCAATATGGGTAGGTCAGCTCTGTCAACAATGTACAGTGCATTTCTTGAGCACGTACGGGTACGGGCGGGTCGTGCGCACACGGAAGTGGCTACGCATTACCATGCCGGCTCTATACAAAAATGCATCAAACGAGAGCCCATCAGAGTTTACCAGCCCCAGAGCAGATTCACCGGGCATCTATCGCCAGGTGAACAGGCGGGGGTATAGACACACCGTGGAATCATCGAGACTGAACTCCGTGGACCCGTCCTGAAGCGGACTCGGCAAAGTGGTCTCGTGGGAGTCCCCGGCTTGCCACTGCCCTTGGAACGAACGATGCTGGTCCCGCTGGGAGTTCAAGATCGGACATCGACTGAAAAGTTTCTCTTTGTAAAAAAAACCCAACATTTTCAGAGTGTGTGACTGTACCTGTGTAACATTGGTTAGCGTCGTGATTATTGGCAGTGTTGAGCAGTTTAGTAGTATTCTGATGTTTGCCCGCGAAGCTCGGCCGAAGGAAAACGAAACGGTTGTGTAGGTGTTGATGATTATTAGGCATTCAACACTGTCAAACAACGAGCAAAAGGCAATATTTTATCCCGCCATTCCTGCACTTCGTCAAGTCATTTGAACAGGTTCTTACAAAAAGGTTGACATCTGAGGTTTTCCACTGGAGTAGTACTTAGAAGAATTATTTTAACACTTTCTCCAGGGTTTGAAATCGTAGAAAACAGACGTGATTATCCTCATTTTACTTCTCAAAAATAAAATTCTACGTACAGAAGCGGGAATTAAGCCTTTCGTCTTGCTCATGAAAATAGCGTGACCGGCGTGAGAAAATAGAGCATACTTTGGAATACCCCTCCTACATATTATAGCTAATTAAACTGTTTTAATGAACAATTAGGATTTAATTTGCTGAAAACCTTTTTTCCTACTTTATCCTGGACGTAATTTAGACGTGACAAAATTTGGCTCAACATGTTTGGCTAAAGTCACGGGAAATGACACGAAAACCGGAATCAAACCTTGACGCATAATTACGCATGCAATGAAGTTGAAAGCTGACTCGGGGTTGTTCCTCTCTGCCTGCCTGTTGTTCATGTTTGCATTTCATTGTGTGAAAACATTCTCAGGAACCGGTGTTGGCGAAATCAATCAGGGGGTGATGGTGACAGCAGTACCCCGTCTTAGCGAGGACAGAGTAGCCCCATTAGGCCTTCCGAGTGAGCAGCCAAACCGTAGAAATCACCAGCTTTTAAAATTTAACTTTTTAAAGTCTGTATCAGTGGAGGAGGAGGAAAAAAATGGTGCCGCAAGAAATAGGTGCTATGATGTTATATGTCACTATGCATCCTCTTGCAATAATAAGCCCGGGCGTGCAGCTGTGTCATTGTCATCGGAGCGTGAATTGCGATGAGAGACCCGGGAGATATTCTTACCTTTCCCCCGGTACCCCAGCGGCATCTCGGCCCCCGAGATAATAACACTGTTCTGATTACTTGGGGAGGTTTTTCATATCCGAGGCAATTTCCAACCGGCAGGACTTCAAAAAAACACATTCGAGGGGGGACAGAATCGCTCCTGCGGCGGTTTCTTGTCAGTGTAGCGACCGTGTTTCGAGAGGACCACCCTAAAAAATATCACCGAGGAGTTACACTCGACGAGGACGGAATAGCCGAGACCTAGACTGGCAGCAAAGCCGGTTGATTGTCGCTTGAAGCCTGACATAGCACCACAGGGCAACAACGTGATTACCACGTTTCTCAGCGCGTTGCTCAGAACCGCCTAGCTGGTTTGGGGGTTCTATCGGGACGTCTTTACACCGTCTACTATACTCCGAGGAAGCTATAAAGTAGAGTGGGGAGGGTGACCGGGCGGGCAAAGGGGCGAAGCTAAGGTCACCCCTAGCCCACCCAGACAGCTGTTGCTCCCATCGGTTCAAGCTGTGGATCTGTGGGGGCTTACAGCCCTCCGATCCCTGGTGAGAGAACCAGGGGGACAGACGCACTTTTGTCTATCTCATGACTCGCCGTCACTGATGAATTTGGTCGAAATTTAAACAATTATTGCGCCCCCTTTTAAACTTTGTTCAAAGAAAGGCAAACAAAGAAGATACAACTAAACCGCTGTCACTTCAGTCTGAGGCAAATGTACGTAACGTCCAGACTCTTTAATTTGATCCTAGAGCTTGTTCGAGCCACAAAATCAAATAGCAACACCGCAAATGACTGATTCTGTCTACAGCTGCAATTATATTGTCAATTTAATCATGAGAAATATCCAAGTGGTTTCTTCTTGTTATTCAACATTTTCGATAGTAAGCCTCATATGCGGTTGTATTGCCAAACCATTCCTCTGGCTCCGCCTGAGACGCTAGACTCATCCACCACTGTAAACCTTTCTCATCCTAAAATATTATTCAATCACCTTTTCCCCCCTAAAGAGCCTTCTTAAACAATTCACCAATGCACTTACAAGAAACACTCGGAAACGGTGAAACGAGGATTTTAAAAAACAATCAGGGTCGCACGTGAAATTGATATTTACTCGCAAGGATTTCAAAATTCTTTACTTCGAAATCCTCTTTCGAAATCTCACTGAACAGGATTAAAGTTAAATATTATTTTAACCCTTTTCCAATTTTTGTCAACAAGGTAAATAGTCCAAAACGCTCAACAAAAGGGCGCTTGAAGCATCCGTTGTACCCTCAGGGTAGCAAATTAATCACAAAAATGACCGATCGAAGGTGCTTTGCTTCCTCCTAAAATGACCACACGATGGTCAAACAAACGAGCTCCTCCTTTCTCGTTTACAGATTGACTCGGACCAAAAATGCAGCCGCGATGAGAAAGTCTGATGGAATAAAAACAACCGACGTCCACAAATCACGAAGGAAAGCAATAGCCCGTTCGGATACCAAAAACAACATCAGCTAACGAGAGGAAGCAGAAATCTTGCACCGTGCCGCTGTATGACTCATAACGCTCTCTCTATCACAAGTCTCCGCCCTCTCGCAGCCTCCAAATCAGGCCCATACAGCCAGTGTCAAGCGATATGAATAAATCAGTACAACACGCTCGCCTCTTCTATACGGGAGGTGTGATTTATAGAGGCGTGCGCTGGCTCATTGGTTAGGCAAGTGATTGCTGTAATGGTCCGCTATAGAGAGCAAAAACTATATCGTTTCACACGATCGTTTGTCAGGGGTGCCTTGAGAAATCTTCCCCTAGTGGAAAGTTGTGCCTTTTATAGGTCGAGACCTCCTCCAAATAATATCAAGATTTCAGATAAATTGGCCAGGGGTGTTGGTCATTTTTGTTCTAGCATTGGTGTCCTTTCACACGGTGGCATATTTGTAAGATTTCTCAAGCCTGAGTAAAGTTCTCAAGCTTCACGATGTTTTTGTGTGTGTCGTGTGAAAGGGGCTTTACGGTTGCGACGAGGGGAAAGCACGGCACCCTGTACCGCCGACCCGACTCGGGGCCATGTACCGCCGACCCGACTCGGGGCCAGCCGGGCAAACCACCAGACTCCTCGCCGCGACACCTTCTATTCTTTGTGGTGCACTATGTTGTCAAAAAAACATCAAGCTAACGACAGTGGGTGATGGATGGGCCCACGGTATATCATGATAGACTTTGTCGAGTCGTCAAATATTTACAAGGTTATGAAGGGCCCTGATGTGCTTTGGGATGCATGCTTTGACGTGAAGGAATCGTGCAACGAAACGAAGAGGGAAAAAGTGGCCAACACACAGTTGTGTGCCCACTCCGCGATCA